GTGTGTGTGTGTGTGTGTGTGTGTGTGTGTATTAAAAAACTATTTCACAATGGGGCCAGATAAAATGTTAACAAAGGCCAGATTTGGCCTGTGGGCCTTTAGTTTGACTCATCAAAAAACTGTTATTAGATATATTTTTGCCAGGTTGTGCTTTGTGAAGTGGAACCTATAACATTAAAACAAATTTACGAAAAAAAAAAAGTAAAGCTCAAAGTGATTTTAGCTTGTAAAAACATCAAAACAAATCCAGATGAAGTGCGTTCCGGTGCGCGTTCCTAAAACCACGTGGATTACTGGGATCCAAACAAACACAGCCTGTGAAAAAAGTCCCCCACTCTCCACCATCAAACCCCCGGAGTCTTTTGGAACCAGACTCGGGTAAGCGTTAGAAAAGAATTACTGGGACGCTTTTAGAAAGTGCTAATCTCCACTTCCTGTAGGAATTATACCACGAGACCTTTCTCATCCCTCATATTGTGTAAAGATGAGCAGTAAAGTGTGCAGTATAGACAGACAGTGAATTGCTTAGCGTGCATTTTTAATTTTCTCTTTTTGTTCGGGATTAGTAGAAATTTTTTCCCCCCATTTGTCCTGACCCGTGTCATCGCCGTGACTCACCTGTGGCAGGGCGGAGCTGAGCTGTCGCTGCAGCGAGTCCCGGTCGTAGATAACATCCTGAAGGTGCTGCTGAGCCAGTCCCAGGCTCTCCTGGGTTTCCCGCAGCGTGTCCAGGAGCCGGTCCCGCTCGTCCAGCATGTTGACCATCAGCTGCTCGAAGTGGGAGTCCGGGTCCGAGGCGCTGCTCTGAGAGCCGCGCTGACTCAGCGCCGTGTCCTCGCTGATCGTGGGCATCACCTCGCACATCATCCTGGCTCTGCTGAAAAGAAGACATCAGACATTTTTAAGGACGTTTGCACTTCATTAACCTGGWCGTCCATGTTTTCTGCGTTTATCCACATTTTTGTACAAAACTGCTGTTTCTTACTTCTTGGGCTTGACATGGAGCTAGGCTCAGCGTTACACCAGTATTTCAAAGCTTACAGACACGTCTTGGGGTGCTGGGCATCCTGGCCTAGATTTCACGCATGTGATGTTTATTGGGGCAGCTCAGATCATGTTACATAACGCAACGCTGTAGAGGATAATGTGACGCCTTATTCCAAGTTCCTTTCCGGGGCTCTTCAGATGCATTAAAAGTTGTGGGAAAATAAGAAAAATATTTAAAAAAAGATATGTTTGAATCATTCGGCAGAGGCTTGTGATGAAGCTATGAGTCACAAAAAGATTTTATTACAAGAATGAATTGCCTTTCAGAGATACAGCTAACGTATAGCCTAGCTTAAAAGTTCACTCAAATAACGGGTTGAAAAAAATGCTTTTTAACGGCAGATAAATACAAATTTAAATGCAAACCGTATTCACTCACTTGTTAGACGTAAACCCATGCATGCAAATGTCTCAAACCTTGCTGCTTTTTCATTTAGCAAAGTGAGCTAAGCTAACAATCTCAGCAGTGTTAACAGTCACTTCACCAGCTGTGTGGTGTGGCACTAACGAGCCACTAAAGGCCTCATTAAACCGCAGTGTCAGATTTATATAAGCACTAACATGTAAAACAATGTAAACACWGTAGTTCTGAGGCAGTTAAAAGGCTATCGCTAACCATTTCCCCTGATTATAGTATTTGTTTTATGGGCAATTGCCACAAATGGGCGTTATTTTAAACAGTACATGCACCAGGATGTTTTTGAGGGTGCATATAAGTTTAGGTCATTGCATAAAGGAAGGTTGAAAAAATGCACCCTTGCATTGTTTTCATATATTTATGGGGGAAACAACTGAAATAGAGACCAGCTTATACACTGATTTGTTTGCTTTTTAGCTTAAAGGGATCCCCATTCGTTGTAACATTAGACTTTATTTAATAAACATATATTTTAACTGTAAAATAGAGACTGTAAAAATAATGTAGGATGTTTAGTTTTTATAATTTTTAAACTAAAAGTTTAGAAATATATTACAC